TTGTCATTTTCCAGTTGTTTTCTGATTGGAGTTGGAATCTCAACCGGTCCCTCCTTCTCTTTCTTTTTTGGTATTGGTTTTTCTACAATCAGCTTGTTTGTGGCATTATTTTTCTCAATAATCTTCAGCTGTTCCTTGGATACCAAAGGTGTTGCAGTTACTGGTTCGGCAATGACCAACGGGGATTTTGGAGCGGGAGTTTCTGAAGTTCTCGGGGGAGAATCAGTTCCTTGAGCAGTCACTTCTTCATTGTAGGCAAATATTTTGCCCGGCCCGTTACAAGTATGGTGAAAAGCGAAATAAAAAATCAGAATCTGTGAAAATTCGAAGAAAAAAGAGCGATACAAACAATAAAAAATAAGAATTAACCCAGGCAAATTGAGAAAAAAAAACAAGGGAACATTTATTTAGAAAAAAACAAGTTGTGTGAGAAATAACAAAATCAAAAACTACAAACTATTTGGAACATTTTTTGGTTTTCTCATATAAAGAGAGCTGAGTGCACGGAAAAAGTGATGTATTGTAATATTCGAATCAAAGTTCTTCGCAATATCCACCAAACCGCCCATCGAAATTCTGGGACACCCAAAAAACTCCTGAATTTCACTGATTCCCAAATAATCAAAAATCATGTCAATGGACTCTTTGCGATGGGAATAACATGTCGATCCATTTATATTCGAAATTTTGGGAATGGACTTCTATAAGAGTGGAGAAGAGAATCCAACAATAAAAATAAGAAAATATCTATTTTGAAAATTATGTTGTGCTGCCTAATTAAATTCAACCTTTTTTTTTGTTGACTTGCATAATTGTTTTGTTTTTTTGTGACGAATGAGCGCAAAAGTCTTCCAGATGGTATATTTGCGAACTTTATATGAGCATAACAGACATGGACCGGGTCAATTTCGTCAAATCCTTCAACTTTGAAAACTTCAGACAGAACAGTTGATCCTCTTCCGACTTGATTAATTTTTAAAGATTTCTTGACAACATCTTCTGACAAATTTCACATTGCAAAGTACCGGCTTCTTTGGGCACCTTCTCTATAGGAGAATCGCTTTCTTTCGCCTCGGGTTTGACGTCTTCACAAAAGTCAACCGAATTAATATTTTCGAAAAAATCATCATTCGACTCCGTTTTGATTTCTTGTTCTAGAAGATATTCAGGTTTTTGTTCATTTTCTTCTTGTTTTATTTCGATATATTCCCCATTTTCGAACGGAAAATTGAAATCTTCTTCGATGACTTCATCATTGATAACCGCTTCGTTCATCTGAAAATTCTTTAAATGTTAAATTAACAGAAAATCGATAATTTTTCCGTCTAACTGTCTCAAAATCGAGAATTTTCAAAGAAAATGACACAAAAACACATCTGTTTATTCAAGAAATACAAACAAGATTTATGAATTGTTCGGCAAGTCTTGGGTTTCTTCGTACGCAAACACCGACTGTGTACTTTTTTGTAGACAGTAATCTGTATTTTTAATGGCTGTGGATCAAACTTTTAAACGTTGAGCGAAAAAATGGCGAGTTGAAACGCAAGGTATGTGAAGCAGTTCCATGAGATACTCTATCCAACAAAAAAACAACTGTTATGAAAAACCATCCCACTGAACAATTATCAATTTTCAAAGCTGAGCATTCAAAATCGGAAGAAACTTATGGACCAACCTAATAACAGAAAATTCATTTCTTTCATATCACAGTTCGAAGCGACATCGCAATACAAGTTTTTGAGATTTTTCTATACACAAAAAAATGACTAGAGGATAAAATCAAAAACCCTAGAAATCTTTAAATCAATCTACTCCGTTTTATGTTTCTTAATAAGATTCTCGTCGACCGGCGACAAAACCATAAGTGAAATAGCCAAAAGTGATCCAACGACACCGAGAATCGTCAGCGATTGGAATCCGTAATTTTGGAGAAGAGAACCAGCGAAAAGTGGGGAAAATGTGCGAACGAGAGAGTTGAACGAGGTGGCTGTTCCCAACACGATTCCCTGCAATAATTGGATTTTTTGGTATCAAACTTTCAGGTATTTTTTTTCAGTTGCCAAAAGTCCATAACATATTTTTCTCAATCAAATTGTATTCACACACCTTCTCTCTTGAAAATTTACAGTTTCAAAAGTTTCATAACACTACATTTTTTTTCAAATCATCGATCGATTCTTTTTCTTCATCTTACCTGCTCAGATTCATCCACCAATGCTGTCAATAAACTATCCGAACACGTGGCGACTACACTCATTCCTAATGAAACAAATGGCATAATGACGAGAAGCATCCAGAAATTGAAGAAGACAAATGTGAACAGAGTGTAGCCCAGGACCTGGAAAATTTCTGTTTTTTTGGATATTGGATAGCTTTCTTTTAAACCACTGATTTATCATGAGATACGTAACTGTCTACCGTGATTCTGAAACATAAATTGCGTGTCTGCTAGGTACTTTGGGTAGTCTGACCACAAACCAAATGAAATATGTTCCATTAGTTATCAAAAACACAAATATAACGTCACCCCTAATAGAATGGCACGAAACTCGTTTTCCAAAACAATGGGTTATGAAAAAAAACCATTTTTTGATTTATCTTTTTCAAAGAAACTGAATGGTTTTTCGAGGTTCAAAAAGTTACCATAAAACCTGTAATAGAATGGCTCCCTCACTGTCAAGTTTAGGCTCAACTATCACAATTTCTGTGTAAGATATTAGAAATATGTCGACTAATAAATCATTTCTGATATTATGATAAATAATTCATCAGTTGACATCCTTTTCATACCTTTCACAGGAACCGAGGAAAATTGGCTCAAAGTAGAAAGTTAGGGGGCCCTCCTATCACAGGTTTACGGTATTCCAAAAGTTTTCTTTGAAAAAATCTGTTTCAGATTCATGATAAATTTGTAGCTATTCTGATCATTTCACTTTTTTTCCACGAATGAAAAATTGTACAACAAGAACCTCTAACTGATTGTCACATCTATTAAAGAGCCTTTCCGCATTTTGGCGTGATGATCTATGCAGAAACTACTGTAGATTACTGTAGAAACCAGTTTTATAGTTTCTGCAAACATCATCACCTCAAAGGCTATTCGTCCATCTTTTTCAAAACGAAAAGAGAATATGGGATTTTCAGTATTTTTTGAAGAAAACGAACTGTGTTTGCTGTTTTGCTCGTACTCGGGAACTTTTTGGAAAACTCACAAAACTCAATGAGCCAATAATGAGCAATGTCTGCTCATCGAACTTCTTTCTCAACCAAATGACTCCAAATCCATTTGAAAACATTATGAAAACTCCCATCATCATTTGCATTATTTGATTTTCAGTGTTCGTTGCATTGAACTTTTCGATAATGTACAACTGAAAAATGAGGAACTTTCGGAATAAACAACAGAGGACTCTTACATTCAGTACTGCAATGATCATGAGGAATGGGACGACTCCTCCATTTTTCTTCGCCATTACATTGAGGACACCTGGCTTCTGAAGGATTCGCACAACGTTTGTTATGTTGATTTCTGGAGGTGGTCCATTCGAATTATCTTGAGTTATTTCGTGCTGGAAAGATAATTTGATTGGAACCAGGAAAATGGAAAAGTATGTAAGAAAAATAAACCAATGCTTCATCACTATTTAGAAACTGTAAATGTTTGATATTAGTCGCAGACATTGGAGCTATGAAATATAAAATATAAGCTATGCCAGTCGAACTTTCATTAACTGTTTTCGGGGAAATGGTCAAATTGAATAGTGTAAAAAATATCATAGACTTTGTTGGACAAGGATGAACTTTTTCAGGACTTCCAAACAGAAATAGGGCTTCAGTTTTGTAGTTAACAACTTTTTTGTAAAAACTCATCCAAATGAGATGGATGAATTTATTTGGATGAATTCAAAAAAAGTTGTCAACTACAAAATTGAAGTTCTATCTGTCACGAGAGCTAAAAACATTGAATAAAATTTCATCAATATTTTTAGAGAGTTTCACAGATTTCCAAAGTTTAAAATCAAGTGAAATTTGAACGTGATAAAAAACTTTTTTGAACAATTTAAATTCTAGACAAAAACAAATACGTGAATTGGTTTAGAAAGATGACCAATTGACCCCAGGGAGAATACTATAAAGGAAGATGAAAGTGAAGGGAAGAATCAGTTCTCGCCTTTTCTGGGCTCCAGAGAGGGTGGGGCCTTGGGTCCTGGGCCTTGGGATTTAGGCCTTGGTCCTTGGTCCTTGGGCCTTGGGCCTTGAGGCTTGGGCCTTTGGACTTGGGTTTTGGGTCTTGGGTCTCGGGCCCTGGACCTTGGGCCTTGGGCCTTGGGATTTTGGCCTTGGTTCTTGGTCCTTGGTCCTTGGGCCTTGGGCCTTGAGGCTTGGGCCTTGGGACTTGGGATTTGGGCCTTGGGTCTTGGGCCCTGGGTCTTGGGCCTTGGGCCTTGGGATTTGGGCCTTTGTCCTTGGTCCTTGGGCCTTGGGCCTTGAGCCTTGGGCCTTGGGACTTGGGATTTGAGGCTTGGGCCTTGGGACTTGGGATTTGGGCCTTGGGTCTTGGGCCTTGGGCCTTGGGACTTGGGATTTGGGCCCTGGGTCTTGGGCCCTGGGTCTTGGGCCTTGGGTCTTGGGCCTTGGGCCTTGGGCCTTGGGCCTTGGGCCTTGGGCCTTGGGCCTTGGGCTTTGGGCCTTGGGCCTTGGGCCTGTTGCCTTGGGAGCCTGGGTACTCATGACCCAGAAAACAAATTAGGCTGTGACCTCGGAAAGAATTAGGTCATGACCTAGAAAAAAATTAGGTCATGACCTAGAAAAAAAATAAGGACGTGAACTGGAAAAATTAAGCCGTGACTAAAAGGCAACTTCAAGATCATTTCAAAGACAAATTTAAAAAATTTACTGCATATTGGCACTTATTCCAAAATTTAGCAACCCTCTGAAACAGTAAATTACACTATACTAACCTCATAAGATTTTCTCTCAATACACGTCTCCAAAACAAACGATGGGAGTGCACACAATGCTGCTGACACTAAAAATGGTGCCAAATCTCCGCCAATTTTAGTTGCAGCAATTGAAAAAATAGGTACAAAAATAAATCCGATTCCAAAAGTGAGGCCCATTCGTCCGAATGCACTTGTTCTTTCTTTTCCAGGAGATGTAAGAGCTGAGAGAAGAGTTTGGTGGGCTTGTTGTCCATGCATAAATACAACAGGGATACGGGAGAGTAGAAGAGAATAGTAGTCCTGAAAAAAGGGTGCAATGGTACCGTAAACACTTTAATCGAATTAACCCCAAATCGTCAACTTTGAGTCATTATATCTCATTTTCTGTGAAAGATATCAAACAGTGATCAACTGTCAAAATGTTTATCATAATTTCGAAAATATTTTGCCCGTTGACAACTATTTGATATCTTTTAAAAGAGACGAGGTAAATTAGCGCAAAGGTAGAAGTAAAATGAGCATTTTAGAGTATTTGAATGTATGAAGAATTCAAAAACGATGATAAGAAAAATTTCAAAAAAACAATGGCAAGATAAAAAATCCATATTTTAGCTGGAAGATCCAAACTTTATAATAGGAGAAATCTGGATTTTCAAAATAAATCTTGCGAAGAAACTTTGAGAACCTACGTTCTTTAATATTGTTCCAGTTTCTAAAAAAACTAGTTATTTGTTTTAGCGAATTTTTCAAAGTCTTCTAATAAATTTTTTTCAGTTTCATAAACTTTATATACAAACGAAAATTATATATCCGAAATTTGAAATGGTCCTTCAAATTTCAAAATACGGTAGCCCAAAAAATATAAACTTTTCGAAAAAACCTATTCAGCATAGAAAAAAGGAGAAAAAATATTCATAGCTTACAGTAGTTTTCGTTCCAGGACCTGCGACAGCGGTCACTGAAGCTTTCTCTTCCACAAGCAATTTTTTAAATTGTGAAAACATGTGAAACAAGTAATTTTGCACGTTTAGGGAAAGGTGGACTTTCTTAATCATATTTCTTCAAATTAAAAAGTTTTATGAAACTGTAAAAATGAGTTTAAAAAATGTAAAATCAACAGGAAAATATTTTCTTTTCCATAGCCCTTTTTTTACTGAAATAGTATAGTACACAGTTGTAATTTCATAAGACTCGGGTCCCAATTAAAAGAATTATTTTCTCATAATATCATACATTACATAAATTTCATGAAACTGAAAAAAAAAAACATGATTTGGAGACGTTGTTATCAATTAAAGTTTTTTTACAAAACTTCTATAAAATAATAAAATTCCATATCTTTTCAATTTTCCGAATTTTCAGGATTCTTAGAATCTGAATATTATACAAAAAAGATACAAAAAATTTTAAACCTAAAAATTTTAAGAATATTTTTTTAATGTAATTAATCAACGTTTCAGAATTTTCTTAATCTCTATAAATTTCATATATTTCATTAATCGAAGCATCGGATTTTTTTTTGATTTCTGATTTTTTGAAAACTCGAAATATTGAAATTTCTATCAGGAATTCTGCTTTTATGACTTGGATACTTTCTTCTTTTTTCCAAACTTTTTAAAGGAAAAAAAAATTATTCTCCAGTTCCCACTTACAAACGAGAAATACAACATTAATCCAGACAAAAGTGTTGAAAAATAGCATAAATGTAGTGCCAATCTGATTCCAAATTTCTGTATTACATAGCCAAAAAGTGGTCCTCCAACCATTTGAAACACCCCAAATATTGTTTGAATATATCCTGAAATTGGATTTTTTCTGGAAAATTTTTTCTAGAAAGTTCCAAACCGTAATCTGCATCAGATAGTTGCAAATGTTTCACCAGGTACGGTGTAGCAGAAAATTGAAGGAAAAATGTAATATTATAGAAAATAGAGAGTAAATAGGCGAACGCAATGGGACGGGCCACTTCAAATGAGCCAATTTTGATGGTTTGAGGACTCGCCGTCATTTCTTCTTCTGAAACAATTTTCTACACTATTTTAGAAAATTTATAAACAATTGGTTGTGCTGCTGCGATAGTGATTGTGTGTGTGTTTAACTTGATAATCAGCGTCTTTATATGTCACGAATGTGGTTTGTACTCTGTTACCGGGCACAATCATAATTAAAGTGGTAAAAAAAACTTGAAGAAAAAAATTTATGATGCTAAAATGTTTTTATTGTCTTTTTATGCGGAGAACGTAATAAAAAATCTTTTTTCGAGGTGGAAGAGAACGCAACTAATTATTAGTCCCCGGCGCGCCGTGTACTCCTCTCGGACAAGTCGTCTCTTCACATTTTTTTTCTATTTTTTCCCCGTCTCTTTGTTTACACACAATTTTTCCACTATTGGACACATTTTCACTATTGGACTATCATGAATTTTTTAAAGCATAACCCCTTTGAATAAATAGTGATACGTTAGCTATACTCTTTTGTTGCACTTTTTGTCCCAAGAAAAAGCCAAAGAATTCGCCGGAAAAAGAAGCCAAAAAGTGCACATCATCAGGAGAAGCAGCAGAAGACGTCACTCTGCAGGAACAAGCTGCTCAATCACGCTGAAAAACGACGCTCCAGTCCTTTTTCTATTGACTTTTTTCTATTTGCATCTCACCCATCTCCCATCCCCTCGACCGACGTCAAATATATATTCCAATTTTGGCACCACCCGTCCCAATGGATAATCTCTTTTGTTGTGGTTTCTCCGTCTTCTTTTTGGAAGCAGAAACAAAAAGGAAAATTTGCATTCTTTTCCGATTCTTTTTTGCACTGACACCAGAAGCTCTAGGAGATTTTTATCGAAAAAAAAACAAGAGAAGAAATTGCTGAAAACACCGAGAAGAGGAAAAACGCATTCACGAGAAGTACATCATTGACCGACTTTTCGAGAGTGAACACATCGCTAGATAGGAAAACAAATTTTTTACTCATCGATTTTTTTCACTTTTTCGACCTAAAAAGGTAATTTTTGAGTGCAATTGAAATATTACTGAAAAACCGCGGTTTTCCGGTTAAATGACAAAAAAGCTGCTACAATTAATTGTTCGCCTAACAGAATTAATTTTTGACCTGATAAGGTAGTTTTTGACATAAAAATAGAAAACTGTTAATGTAAAATATTAGTATTTTGTCAGTTCAATCGCGAAAAAATCCGATTTTTAGCTTCGATTTCAGGATTTTTCGCAAAAATTTACTCATCGATTTTTTTGAACTTTTTGTGAATTTTTCTACTTGAAAATATAAATTTTCAGCAAATTAATCCAGCGAAAAATTCCCGAACACCTGTATTTTGGCGGTTTGGTGGCAAAAAATCGCTAAATTTTAGTTTTTTGGCTTAACAAAAGTAATTTTTGACACATAAAACGTAACTTCTGGCAAGTTTCCGATGAAAAATTACTGAATATTATCGTTTTTTCGGTTATATGGCGAAAAAACGCACTTTTTTGCTCAGATTTTCAGGATTTTTCGCGAAAATTGACTCGTAAAGTTTCAAATTTGGAGATGGGCGGTGATTTCGTGTCGAGATCAATGCACATCGAAGCATGCGGCTTTAGACGTTACGGTAGAAAATTTAAAGGAACATTCATCGAAGAGGTGGGGTTACGAGACGAAAAGCACGGAAATGTTTTTTTTTCGATTTTTGAGAGCCATTTTTCGTTGTTTTTCTCGAAAAAATCAGCTTTTTCACTGATTTTTTCGCTAAAAATCCCAAAAATGGCTTTTCAGACAGTAAATACACTAAATTTCAACACTTTTTAGGTTTGTTTGTCCATTCCGGAAGTCTCTTCCACAACAAAAAACAATCGATTCATTTTAATTTTGTCTGGAACTTGAACGGATGAGTCAGTAGTCGATAAGTGTATTATTAGAGAGCAAAAGCGACGAATAACATCCATTTTTTTTTCTGTGGGCGACCCATTTTGTGCTTTTTTCGGAAAAATCGTTTTCCATTGAAAATTTCAAAACAAACAGCTGACTAAAAAAACGGTTTTTTGCATAACATGGAAAAAAATCGCTTTCATAATATGAGTGCGACCAATCATCATCATGTTCTCGCTTCTCTCTATCTCTCGTATTACGAGAATTATATGATAGATAGCTAGTTTTTATCAGTCGGAACACATGTCAGAGAGCTTTTTTCCTATTTTTCCGGCTTTTTTAAAGGCGCATAGAGCTTTTTTCTCCCCAATTTTTTTTCTAGTTCGCTTTTAGATCAATGACATCAGTCCTCCTGAATCATGACGCAAAAAGTTTAGACTACCAATCCACGTGTCGGACCCTTGTATCTTTGAAAAGCAGGGTCACCTGCTCGTTTCTCTAATCCTCTCACTCTCTCAAATACTACTACTGGATGGAAACATGGCTTTCGGGGTTGTCATGTAAATCGTATTTTGTTTTTTTCTTTCCTTACTTTTTGCTATATCTCGTGTCCCTTTAAACAAAACAAAAACATTTAAACACGATATAGAATATTCCAGACACCCTCCTCCCCAAAAACCAGAATCACATTGGATACGAAGTAGGTGGCAGGAGCCCCCTCCACCACGTCTTCTTCTTCTAATGTTGATTGCGTTTCTGGCTGGGTTTTTGTGCGGTTGTGCGCTGGTGAGTTTTTGAAATTATTCGAAATTCCCGCTTTTCAAAAATTTGAAATTCTCGATTTTCAGCTCCTCGGAATCCTCTACGTCTACATTGTCGATCCATGGGGTCAGCCAGAAAGCCAACCGCAACCGCCGATTGAACAATATCGGCAGGTGCAAGTGCCAGAGGAGATTCGAACGTTTTTAAAGTCTGGAGAAGATGGACAGGGGATTTCTAGATGGGAATCGACGAATGCGATCAGTCTCCTCTTGCATATGCTCTTTCAGGAGCACAAGGATACAAGGGCGTTAAGGAGGTAGGATAGAGGAAAAATTACCGTCAAACCTGCAATAGAAGGGCTTCTACTATAAACTTTGAGCTCAATTATCTCGGTTCCTGGCGAAGGAATAGAAAAGTTGTCAATTGAAAAAAAAACGTTGATGATAATATAACTCACATTTTATAAGTTGACATATTTTTGACATTTCTCAAAGGTAAACGAAGTAATTGAGCTCAAAATTAATAGTGTAGGTGCCCTTCTATTACAGGTTTTGAGGGTATCCTTTTCTGGGTCATGAATCCTTTAAAATCGCTCAAAAAGTCTCGATTTTCCCTTTCAGATGGGTTCATAAACGTCTTCAAATGGAAATGAACGACATCGCCACTCGCTCCACGGCCGGGCGTTTGATTCAAGAAATTCGTATTCGAGAGCTATCCCTGGGCACGAAATTCGCAACGATTAACTCGATTCGAGTGGAGAATGTTGAGATGGCAGATGATAAAAATACTTTTGAGGTAATTTTCATATTTGAAAAAATCTCAAAAAAAAAGCTGAAACTCCAGAAAATCACATTTGTCCTGGATATCGACTATTCTGGCGGATTCGAGACCTCTATCGACGTATCGACATTGCTCACCAAGAAAGCGAGTTTATCAGTGAAAATCACCAAATTAACTGGTCTGGTCCGTGTGGTTTTATCACGACAGCCATATCATTATTGGACGTTTTCGTTTGTCAATCCGCCAGTTTTTGAGACTGATGTGAGTTTTTTTTCTGAATTTTTAGCTTTTCTTAGCAATTAAAATCCATTTTTCCCGAAAATTGGATATTTAAATCATCGAAAAATTCAAAATTTCAGTCGGAAAATTGCTTAGTTTTTTTTTTTTTTTTTTTTTTTTAATAGTTTTGAAAAATCTTCTACTTCAGTCTGAAAATTTTCAATAGCAAAAACTCTTTTTAGTGAAAATTGGATTTTCGAATAATCCAAAAATTCCCTAATTCCAGATCAACTCTCAAATCCAAGGACACCAACTGAAACGGCTGATTCCAATCATCAAAGAAGCGATTCGTCGATCCCTTCAAAGGAAACACGTATGGCCGAATTACAAGATTCGCTATCGACCGTTCTTCCCGAATCCGATATTCCAGGCATCGCCTCCGATCAGTGAGTTTTCAAGACCCTAAATTTGAATTTTTGCCTTAAAAAATCGTTTTGGGCAGCCAAAACTTGAAAATTCGGATTTCCCGGACATTTTTACCTCGAAACCAGTTTTTGTGAGACGAGATCTTGGAAATTTTGGAAATGTCTGTAGTTTGTCGTGAAGTCTGATGTATCAGTTGGTTTTTCGCACAGAAATGGTGCTACAGTATTTCAAAAAGATCCGAAATTAATGTGAACGCTTTCGGATTACTGTAGTACCGTTTCTGTGTGAGCACTAACCAATACATCAGACCTTACGACAAATTGCAGACTTTTCAAAATTTTGACGTAAGGCCTATTGTATTGGTTAAAGTTCGCACAGAAATGATAATACAGTAATTAATGAAACCCCTTAGTGCTTCCAGATTACTGTAGCCAATACGCCAAACCTTACGACAATATGCAGAAATTTTGAAAATTTTGAGTTTCAAACATTAGGGTGAAAATGCCCGGGAAATTCGAATTTTAAAGTCTTAGCTGCCCAAATTGCTTCCACAACTCCAATTTATTGATAATCGAAAACTAAACAGAAAAATTCCAGACAGCTTCACGCATATCAAAATGGAAGGAGGAATGGAGGTTACTGTACTCCAATGCTCTCGCCTCAAAAACGCTCTACTCGAAGACCGAACCAAAAACTACGAGATCTACTGTACCGTCGCCATTGAATCTCGTCCCATCGTGCAAAACGAGGAGCAAGGACACGTGGTGAATGTGCTTCTCACCTTCTCCCGTTATGACGTGGCAAGTCCAATTGGGTTGGTATTCGATAAGAACGTACCTGCGACTACGGGATCCGCGAATCGAGCCGTCCGAGTTTGTACGGTAGAGGATAACAGTTTGGCTGATAAGGCGGCGTTTAAGCCTGGAGATGTGTTGGTGGCAATTAACAATGTGCCGATTAGGTCGGAGAGACAGGCCGCGAGATTCTTGCAATCAACGACGGGGGATTTGACGGTGCTTGTGGAAAGGAGTCTGGATGATATTGATGAAGAGGATAAAGGTGAGAGAATATAGGCCATAAGATTCTAGTTTAGATTCTAGACGTGTTTATCTAGTTTAAGACATAGATTTTGGTCGATTCTTGCAATTGCGCGTCAGAATTCCAGATGGTGTTTGCGTACGCATCTGATTCATAAACTCGAAAAATGTACGCAAACACTCTAAAGATTTGACGCGCAATATCAAAAATTCGGTTAGCTCGGTCAGGAGAAATTTGAGCCTACATATTAGCTAGCTATGTTAGTGTGTTAGCTGAAACTCAGAATGAGGATAATAGGGATCTAACAGATTTTGGTTTGCCATTATTGCTGTATTCACTATCTAACTCTTGGTTTTCTATTTTTTTCACTCACCTGTTCTCCCAGAACCAACTGAAATCGTGGTGAGTGCTGTTCGTGATATGGACACTGCTGATACCACGAGCCTAGTCAGTACAACATCAGTGACAACGAATGATAATACCAGGGATTCGATAAGTGAGGCGACAGAGGTGACAATGCGGCCGACGGAGGGAAGGAGTGATGGTATGTGTGTAAGGAGAGGAGTTGTATGGTTTCATATAATTCATGCATGATAGAGAGATGATGTTCGTGTGGGAGCCAGAAGTATATTTCATTATCCTAGAAGGCTAGCAATCACGCTCCATAGATAATGTTTTAGCTGCTGAAATAGTGAGAATTTTTTAGCTTGTTAGGCACTACAGTAACCCTAGGTTAGTTTTCAGTCAATTTTTGTCATTTTAAAGTCTATTTTTAAATCAATTTTAGCCTTTCTTGAGCCTATTTTTGACGGATTTTCTGCCTATTTTGAAGCCAAATTTTGACGTATTTTTATCCTATTTTAGGCATTTTTGTGCCTATTTTTAGACATTTTTGCCAGTTTTTAGCAGGTCATTCAATTTAATCTTGTTTCCAGTCAATTTTTAGCCAATTCTTGCTTTTTTTAAAGCCAATTTCAAGCTAATTTTTTGATATATTTTTAGTTAATTATATTTAATTTTTAAACAAGTTTTTGTAAATTTACAGCCCATTTTTGCCTTATTCTAAGCCTATTTTTGACCAAGTTACCTTTCAGTCAATTTTCAGATCATTGTCGACAATTTTTGTTTATTTTTTAGCCTATTCTCAGTCAAATTTCGCCATATTTCTAGCCAATTTTTTCGACATTTTTGCCTATTTTCAAGATTTATTCAGCTTATTTTTCATCCAATTTTTGCCTAGTTTTGCTATAGTTTTAGTCATTTTTTGCCAATTCTTCAGCGAATATCTCAGCCAATTCATAAGTGAAATAAAGTCAATTTTGAGCCTAATTCAGCCACTTTTTCGGCTTATTTTAGCCTTATTTTAACCATTTTAAGCCTATTTTTAACCCTATATTCGCTATAGTTTTCGTCATTTTTTGCAGTATTTTTAGCCAGCTTTAGTCAATTTTCTTACCATTTTTAGCCTTTTTTTCGCCCGTTCTGTGGCTTTTTCTAGTCTATTTCTAGGCTCACTGCCATTTTCTCTACTTTTCTCAATTTTTGCTCTTTCTATCTATCCCTTTTCTATTTTTATTGTCGCCTCATGAACTACAACGTGCCAACTGTTTGTAGTCAAACATATGTGTATGTGTGGAGTGATCTATTTTGCCCCTGTTCTTGAGAAAAAAGAGATAGACAAAAGTGTAATTTTGTGTAACGAATCCACTTGGTTCGACATTTTTATTGGAATGAACTCCTTGGGAATCAAACATTTTGGGGAAAAAAATTCTGAAAATTCCAGCAAGCATATTGGCTGCCCGTCGACGTCACAGTGTATCGAATTTCGAGTCATCGGCAGTGGACACGAATACAGAATCGGTGGCATCGTCGATTTTTGGACTAGGTAAGGGTTTTCTGTCTGTGTAGCTGTTGGTCCGGATGTCCAGAACAATCACTAAATATGAGACTTTCCCTGGGTTACTGCAGCTTCAAAAAAGTACTAAGAATTATTTTTGGAAATCGACGGCTTTCTTGGGTTACTGTAGATTTGCAAAATAGAAAATGACTGAACCTCCGGGTTACGGTAGGTTCAAAAAATGTCAAAAACGAATTTTCGAACTGAAAACACTCCAGACCAATCATTGAACGTCTCCTTGGGTTACTGTAGATTTGAGAATTTTCGAACTAAAATCACTTTATTAAATAGACATTCAAGTTCTCCAAAAAAAAGGTATTTTGCATGTCATGTTTTAAGCAGCGGGCGGAAATTTATTATAAAAAAGAAGCAAAAAAGCGGGGGCAAGACATTTAAATTGACGGCAGAATGTGACCTTAACGACGGGATCCGTCCTCGAAGAAGACTCCTCCATCGAGAGCACAGTACTTTGGACACACTCCCTTCTCTCCTGGATGTCCATCGCGTCCTGGCTGTCCTGGACGTCCTGGTTGTCCGTCTCTTCCTGGCTGTCCTGGCTCTCCGTTGGCTCCCTTCTCTCCTGGTCCTCCTTGAGCTCCGTCCTTTCCTGGCTGTCCGGCTGGTCCACGTGGTCCTGGTTGTCCTGGACGTCCTGGCTCTCCTGGTGCTCCTGGCTGTGGCTCTCCGTTGCGTCCGTTCTCTCCTGGTGGTCCTGGTGGTCCTGGCTTTCCGGCTGGTCCTGGTGGCCCTCCTGGTCCCTTGTTTCCTGGCTGTCCGTTCTCTCCGCCTGGTCCTGGTGGTCCTGGTGGTCCGAGTGGTCCCTTGTTTCCGGATGGTCCTGGTGGTCCGGCTGGTCCTGGTGGTCCTTCTGGGCATGGTTTGCATGGTGGTGGAGTGATTGGCTCACATGGCTCCTTTGGTGGACGTCCTGGGTTTCCGTTAAGTCCTGGTGCTCCTGGCTTTCCTGGGCGACCGGCGCGTCCCGGGGTTCCTGGTGGTCCTTGGGCTCCTGGCAGACAGCATCCCTCGCATTGTCCGTTGCCGGCTTGACGAGCGGTACGGTTGTGAGCCATGGCCATGTCTGGGATCATGTTGACGTCTCCCCAAAGCTTCTTGGCCTCAGCACGGCACTCAACGATCTCGTGGTGCATGGTCCTGCGAGCGTGATGAATGTAGTTGTAGACCATTGGGAGAGTGATACAGACCGAGAGGACTGCAATGGTGGAGAAGGTCAAAGCGGCATAACCGACGAATCGGTAAACCTTGATCTTGGAATCGATCTCCATGGCTGGAGTGGAATGATTACTAGTTACCCATGGCAAGCCTTTTATACGAATTTTTGTTCAAATTGTGGAATTCGTCTGACTCTCTGACACCTCTTCTGTTGAACAGTGTTTCTCATAAGGAAGTTGATTGGGTTACTGTCCAGAAAAACCAAAGGGATAGGTTGAGGTATCATACCATTTTCTCTAAAACCTCTTCATTCTCAACGCTATTCGATTAGTGTAACAATGGCAACTAGGTAGCAACTGCCTCGTTAGGTCAGAAGAGAAGAGAAAAATGATGGAAAAGTTTGATAAGGGAAAGGAAAAAAAATTAGAAAAAAAAGAGAATGTGTCGTTGACAGGGGAACTATAGAACGATGGTTTCTGATGAGAACTTTTCAAAATTGATTGAAAAAAAGAAGTCAAAGCGATCAGAAGATCAGAGGACCGATACACAGACAGACGGGCTATAAACGGGTCCTAGTCCCTTTTAGGATCAATGCTTTCTAACCAACTAAATTGGATATGATAGAAGAACTCAAGAACTACAAAATGATACTAATTGGAGTATTGAATCTTTGTTTTATGGCTTGTAACTTTGCTCATAGTCAAGACACGGTAATCCAAATACTATCACTTTGTAGAGCTGATAGAGTTCTATCATATCTAATTTAGTTGGTCTGAAATTATTGATCATGAAAGAAACTATGGCAGGGGCCGTTTCAGGCCCGTTATCAAGTCTGAATTATAATCTCTCTGTGTGTCGGNTCGTCCAGCTCTTTGATCTTCTGCTGACACTTTAAGGATAATTGAATTATAGTTTGAAAATTGAATTTATACACAACCAAATGTGACACCAAAATAGGTTCTAGGCCAGTTTTCAAGTCTGGATCAAAGTTCTGGACGAACCGACACACAGACAGACTATTCAAATCTATAATTTCCAGACGCCCACAAATTCGACAAGCCCCCATCCGTCTCTGTCCAACGTGCTGAAAGTGCTCGTGTGCCTCAACTCCTGATCAGCCAACCCAGTTTTGATCTACGACGAACCCAATCGGAATCTCATCTGGACGCCAAAGTCATCGATGCTGTCCTTTCGAGTTCTGCAGATTTTGGAATGGAAAATTCGGTGGAGGATGAGATCAAGATGCTTCTAGTCGGTGATTTGAATCGAAGTGCTTCGGCTGGAATGGATCCACAGCTCCTTGGAGTTGCTCCGAAAAAAGATGACAAGGATAAGACGCTGACACAAGCGGATGCTGCAAAAGGATTGGCTCTGTTGGCTTCGGTGAGTAGCTGAATTAGCAATCAGCTGATCAGATATTTGTTTTTTTTTTCCTTCGAGACAGAAAACGGAAAGTACGAGAAACTAATTGAATTGGTCATTTCGCAAACCGGTTCTGTCGCATCGCTCGCTTCGATGAATTCGAACCGAACGGACAACACGGGAACAGAGGATAATTGTGGCGGTGACGACGAGGAAGCACATCATCAGCTTCTGGAGAGAAAGCCAAGCACGAGAAAAGCGAAAATTCAAGCGACATTCGCAGCTGGAAAGAAGAAAGTTCTAGATCTAATGCCCCAGAAACGAAAGCTAACGGATGCATCGCCAGTGGACTTCAATGGAGAGAGCATTGAGATTGGAGCGGACGCTGGATCGATGTATGATACAGATCGAGAACCTTCTGTTGGAAGATCCCCCATGGCAGCTGTTGGAAAACGAAAGGAGAGCCCCTCGGAGGATAAGAAGGAGAAGAAACGGTTGAAAAAGAAATTGTCAGAGTCGCCGAAGGCTAGAAGATCTGGAGCATCGCAGCAGAAGGATCAGTCTCCGATGACAACGATCAAGGCGAGGACGACGAAGTGTGTGCAGTTTCAGAAGGTAATATTTATTGATACACTTTTAATACGCCTTTAAAAAGTTCCAGGATGTCATGTGGGGTCAGTCTCTTCACTTTGAACTTGACGCATCCGCTGAGCACACCACCCGGAGCACAATTCGCTATCTAAACGTTACGGTTCATGCTAGAGAAGTTCGACCAGCTGGATCACCCAACACCTCCGCATCCTCCATCCCCAGTGTCACGCCTTCTACTCCAGATAGTCTCGCTTCTTCCTCTACAAACACTGAAAATTCGGCGGCTCCAGAACCACCGAAACCCATTCTATTGGGAAGTGTCTCCCTATTTGTGCCACAATTGATTGACGACTGTCGATTGACACTTTCCAACTGTCATCGAGAGGTTTTCCAGTTGAAGCAGCCGAATTGCACGGTGACACCGCCAGTGGCAGCCGCCAATGAAGATCCGTAAGTTTCCAACAACTATGAAAATCTAAAAGTCAGTTTTTTCCAGAATTTTCACCGAATTCTCTCGTCATGCTGGATTCGATCCACGGTTGTGCTTTGGAGACATCACCCTTGGATTTCGATATTTTCCAGATGGTTTTCCATCGAATAAGGCTATCAATTCTGGCGATGATAGTGAAGATGAGTGGCACAGAGTTGAGGCAACGTCGCCGGGACGTCCATTCTCGCCACCAGCGTTTGCTCCAGCGACTCATGAGTGGAAGGTGTGGATGTGTAAAAATGGTGAGTTTCAATGAAATGTACCGCGGTGGCCTAGAAAATACAACTTGAAAAAGCTAGGCCACCATTTTGAAATGGCTTTGAAAACACACTTGGTGAATAAAAGACCACTTCTAGGCCATTCACCATGGTGGCCTAGAATATTCGTAATGGGAACGTTAGGCCATCATTTTAAAATGGCCTAGAAATGACCGAATTGCCAGCTAGTAGGTTTTCTAGGCCATTTACCATGATGGCCTAGAAATGGCACCTTGCAAAAGTTATGCCACAATTTTCAAATGACTTAAAAGTACACTAGGAGAATAAAATACCAATTCTAGGACATTTACCGTGGTGGCCTACATTTTGCAAGTTAGGATTTCCTAGGCTACCATGCTTAAATGGCCTAGAAATGACTTCGCTGTCAACTGGTGTATTTTCTAGGTCATTTTGACATGGTGGCCTAATTTTTGCAAGTTGAGATTTCTAGGCCATCAACTTTTATGACCTAGAAATAGCTTGATATTCAACAAACTCTTCCAAAAAACATTGTTCTCATGATCCTAACCTTTTATTCCCAGCCACCACCTGTGCAATGTGTCGTGGAAAAATCTGGTTCCGTACGGCTTCCCAGTGCTCTCGATGTCTTGTAATCTGCCATAGTAAATGTGTCGACAAAGCCAATAACGGAGGCATCGCGTGCTCCCCACGACAGATTCCTTCTCCGACCAACCTTCCACTTCCCGACGATTCTCGTTTCGAAGAGATTTCTGCGAGTGAGGTAGAAGCGGCGAATACACCGGATCACGAGATCGAGAGGAATGCGTTGCTCATGCAATCGCCGTCCACGTCATCTATGGCGTCTTCAATGACGAGTCCAGCACCTTCGGGATCTTGTAAGTGTTCAGAAATGTTCTAAAATAATCTGGAAATTTTCAGTGGACACTCCTGAGACCTCAAAACGAGCCAAATTCCGAAAAGTGACCGAAAAATTCGCGTATTGGAGAAAAGGTGGAAAGAAGACGGAAGGAACCCCGGGAAGACGAGACACCACTGACATGGATCCCGACGCAGCCGAAGCCGACCGAGATAGCCCCATGGCTAGTATCCAGGATGTTCTCTCCGATGTCCTTCCAGGATTGGATGGCTCTCCGTTTATCAGTGGACTCTATTTCCAGCCAGGAAACGCCTACAACGAACAGACGATTCGGAATGCGAAGCGACTGGGAAGAGAGATTTTTAACGAGTTGCCGCCTGAGGAGAGAGTCAAAAAGATCAATCTGCAAATCGATCGGATTCAGACGGCGATACGGGAGACGAAGGATGATCGGTTGAGTGTGATGCAGAATGATGGAGGTAGGGTTCAACTGGAAAAACCGGATATTATAAAAATTAAGCTGATTTTGAGCCTATTTTTAAGTCTATTCTCAGCTCATTTTCAGACTATTTTAAGCCTATTTGTAATCCTATTTTTAAACCAAAAAATGAATCATTTTGAGCCTGAAAAGGAGCTATTTTAGGGCCCTTTTTAAAGCCCTTTTCCTCTTATTTTAGGCCCGTATTTAAGCCTATATTTAAGCATATTTTTAGCTCATTTTCAGACTATTTTAAGCCTATTTTATAGACTATTTTAAGGCTCATTGATAGTTCCAGAATCATCTTCCAAATTCCAAGGACTCGATGAACGCCTTCAAGCTCTTGCTGTCCTGATGCTCCACTATTGCTCAGCCTTACAAGATTGTCAATCCGGAAGGAATACTCCGAATCCCCCCGAGGAGCCTCAGGTAGAAAATAATCATTATCATCATTTCTAACCACTCGAAAAGTCTCCAGATGAGCGACGACCACCCCGACCGCCACCCCGACCACCCCGACCATCTTCAAAATGAGGAAGAGGACGACGATGAGGAGAGTGTGGTTGATGAGGATACTGTAGTTGCTGATGTTCCGGATGTCGTTGAAGCGATTTGAAATACAATTATTTTCTTTGTGCCAATCTCCATATCACTTTTTTTTCTTCTTCCCCCAATTATATCATTTTCTTTTTCTTGTTGCTCTGGTCTAATTTCAAATTTTGCAGCCGAAAATTTAAAAGTGGGCGGAGCTTAGGTACGGTAGCAAAACTTGAATATTTCTCCCAAAAATCCGAAAAAATAGCTTAAAAACAATGACATTTTTCTCGAGTTTTCCGAGAAATTTGATTAATTTTTAACTGTCTTTTGCTCACAAAAATCCGGGGAATCAAGCCCCGCCCATCTGTAAAGTTTCGACCGCAGATTGAAATTAGGATTAGAGTAATATTCCAATTTTTTTCTTCCACTGTGATAAGAAAATTCTTTTCCCAAATCTCGATGTAAAGACTTTTTCCCAAAAGTATTCTTCACCTTTTTTTCTTGCTCTCCTTCCCTGTGATTTTTATTATTATGCATAATGTGTCCCCTTATTTATTGAGAAACCCTTCAATATATTATGAGCATCCCACTTGTACGTTTCATATAAATCCAATTTATTTTATTTTTGTGTTTTCTGTGTTCGGCTCGACACACTTGTGATCTTTTTGTGACATATAATGCATAATGTGAAATTCGTCACTTTACAAAATACTTAACAATCGAAAAAAGGAGAAGGGAAACCAATAATTTCTGGCAGCTGCATTTCTTTTCGGCTCTATTTCTGTCCCCTCCGCGCGCTTTTTTTCTGCGTCCTGCGTCTCATGTTCTCTCTTTTTGCTTAATGCCGCTCAGACTTGCAAGGCTTCCATTGATTTTTTCAATTTTTTGCGAGAAAAACAGGGGTTTCAGCCTAGAATTTTATGAAAATAGCCGAAAATTTGAAAAAAATTACAAAATTTTCCAACTTTTTTGGTGAAAAACTGGGTTTTTTGCTTGAAAATTAGTGGAAATAAGCTGAAAATTGAAAAAAAACGGTGAAAATTCGATAAATTTTGCTACAGTAAGCCTGCTATTTAAAGGCGCATAATAAAGTTTTGTAAATTGAGTCGCGCAACTATTTTATTTAAAGGTGCACGACTAAAAATTGTGAATTGAGTCCCGCAACGATTCAGATACTGTAGCTCAAAGGCGCATACCTAGAATTTGTAAATGGATTTTCGCAGCGATTCAGCTACTGAAAAAAAAGTTCAATTTTTTCGTTAAAATTCTCGATTTTTTCCGATTTTTACTGAAAATTATTCAATTTTTTCATTAAAATTTTCGATTTTCTCGGATTTTCATTGAAAAATTTCAATTTTTTCATTAAAATTCTCGATTTTCACTGAAAATTGTTCGATTTTTTGATTAAAATTCCCAATTTTTTCCAGAAACATGGCGGCGGCAGTGATCTCAACGACGTTATTCGGCTGTGTCGGGTGTCAAGCGGGCATTGAGTATTTGCAAACGTACTAACTTTCAAAAAATCCTTCCAGTCAAGATTTCTAATTTTCAGATATGTTAAAAACAGTTTAAACCTCATCACATTCTCCTCGTTCATCTTCACCGCTACCTACGGACTGATGTTTCATTCGAAATTCTTCACAGTGCCGAATCGAATACCAATCAAATCGTATGCGAAAATTGTAGCCATATTTTTCACAGTCAACATGGCCAACAATTTAGCACTGAAGTTTGCTATATATTTTCCGCTTTTTATCATTTTTAAATCGGTAAAAATCTTTAAAAAATTTGTTAAGCGGGAAGTTTAAATTTTTAGGGCACACTTCTGACAAACATGACAATGGGCTACATTATACGAAGCTATCGGTATAACTTAAAACAAATTATCGCTGTGATAGTAGTAACCGCTGGAATTGTGATTTTTACACTGGCAAGTTATGAGCCGGGCGCTGAAAATGTGGGTTTTCAGATTTTTAAAGGTGCATTCAACTTTTCAAGGGTTCAGATTCGTTCTGGAATCGACTCCAACTCGTGGACCATTCCCGTTCCTCCATTCGTTGTTGGAATTTGTCTTTTGTCATTTTCTCTAATTCTCAGTGCATATTTGGGTCTCTATCAAGAGACTTTCTATCAGAAACATGGGAAACACAACGAGGAGATGATGTTCTATGTGGTAGAAAAATCCGAAAATTTGAAAAAAAATATTCAAAAAACGATTTCAGCACTTTCTGTCGATTCCAGCGTTCGCGTTGGTCGGCGACGAAATGATGCCGGCGTTCTATGCGGCGAATAAGACGCCGTCGTTTGTTGTAGCTGGAATTGATACGGTAGTTCCATCGGCGTGGATCTATATTTTTGCGATTTGCCTTTTTCAGTGAGTTCTGAAAAGAGGACCTAAAAATTACGAATAAAATTCAATATGATAAGTTTTTGAGAAATTTCAAGAATGCAAAATTTAGAATTTCCGCGAAAATTGAAAAATCACAAAGTTCTCAGTTCTAATGAAGAGAAGATTATTAGGAAAATTTTTTTTTCAGAATTTCTGAAAAACCCTTAAAAAGTCGAAAATTTCAATTTGAATTTTTTTTGAAAAATTTAAGAATTTAAAAAATCGAAATTTTGAAAAATTTTATTATTGAATTTCTAAAAAAGAACTTTGATTAAAATTTGGATAACTGCGATTTCTAGGATTTCCTGAAAATTTCAAAAACGACAGATTTTTCAAAATTTTGAAAATCAAAAAAAAAACGTCCTAAATCGTCAATTTTTAAAGTTTTTTCTTTGAATATTTCTAGAAAAAAAACTGAAAACCACAGAATTCTCAGAATTCGAATTTTTGAACAAAATAATTTTTTGGAAAATTCGAACAGCTTCAAAAAGTTCGAAATTCAAATTCCTTCAATAAACATTTAACTTCGCTATTTTAACTAAAAATTTTCGAAAAATTCAAAAATCTAAAAAATTACAAAAAATTCTAGAAAATCCACTTATTTTCGGTGAAAAGAAAATTTTTGAAATTAAAAAACCAGTCGGTTTACGCCCCTTCGGGGCTTAACCTCCTGGCCTCCGGTTACAGTACCCGTAATCTTATAAAAAGATTTCTCCACTTTTATTCAGGGTCTCAAAATTGAGAGTTAAGAATTTCAGTGTTTCTGAAATGTCCACTTTTAAAGATAATCAGGATTTTGAGCTTTTAGTTCTGAGATAAGTGAATTCGAAATTTTCGAAGTTCAAAATTTCAATTTTCTTACAAATATTAGTTTGGCAGGAAAGTAATTGTCCCTTGTTTAATTTGTGAATAATACAAAAGCAGGATCAATCCAAGATTAGCAGTATGTACCGTCGTGGTCCACGACATGTTGGCAATGTTCAGATAACTTGTGGAGACAATACCTTCAAAAGCCAGCTAGCCGCGAATCAAAGTATTCATTTTTCCTGTTTTTCACATAAATGCTGCAAATTTTCGTATTCTCTAGATGAGGTTGTATCTCTCCGAATATCCAATAATCTGATAGAGCTCAGTCTGGACTATAAGTAGGTGAGGGAGAACGGTCCCGCTGAAGCTGCTCAGGTCTGACTTGACTGCAGGTAAAAAATGAAAAAACCTCATGTTCACGGAAAGTCACGCCGTACCTGAGCCGCTTTGGCTGGACGGTTCTCCTTTACCCCCGTTAAAGACCTGATTCAGCTCTATCAGATCATTAGTTATTCAAAAGTATACAACGTCATCTGGAGCTTAAGGACTTTAACACACTTGATGCATGAAAAAATGGACTGGAGGGATACTTTGGCTTGCCACTAGATGGCTTTTGGAGGGATGGTACCCACAAGTTACCTGAACATTGCCAACATGTTGTGGATCACGACGGTGCATATTGCTAATTCTGGATTATTCTTGTGTTTGTGTTATTTACTCATAAAAAATGGGCAGTTACTTTCCTGCCAACCTAATAGTTCAAAAAAGATTAAATTTTGGGTTTCTGTAATTAAGGAATTCAAACTTTAAATAGGGAAGTCAATCTACGTTTTTTTTTCAACCTTCTTTAGTCGAAATCTCGGAATTAAAAAATCTGAAAACTCAGGATGTAAGAATACAGAAATAGAAGTATTTAGAAACTGGAATTTCGAAAAGTTATATACCGAAAGTTCAGAAACTTACGAATTCGAAAATTCGGAAGTATCTTTCTCAATTGTAAATCTCAGATCATAACTTTGAAATTGTGGAGTTTTTGAATTTACTGAATATCGAGAAGTTCATGGATTCAGAAAGTCCAAGGCCAGTTTTAGAGTTTTAAAACACCCAAAATGTTCGGAATTTTGGAATTTCGACTTTCAAAATTCTACTATTTTTCCGTTTCTGATTTTTTTTCTCATAACTCGGAAATCGTGAAACTGAGGAAATGCGAATTTAAAGATTAAGAATCTTAGGTATTCCTGAATTCGGTAATTCAGTCATTCAAAAAACTTTTTGAAATTAGCCGCATCAAAACTAAGAATTCTGAAATTGTATAGGTAATTCAAATTCCCAGAATCTTAGAAGTTTGATAATTACTAAAAATTTTTGGAACTCAGAAACCGAATTAAAAACAAAACGAAATTCGGGAATTCGGCAATTCAAAAACTCTGGAATTCTGAAGCTTTAAATTTCTAAAGAAGGGTGAATCAGAATCTCAGAAGTTCGAACGTTTGAGAATCAGGAAACTCGTGAACTATAAAATTTTACAATTCAATGATTTCAGAAAACTGAAACTGGAAAGTTGTTACTGCTCGCAAACTCTCTATCATATAACCTTATGGCACTTCTCCAGACCGTCGCCCTAAATCATTTTTAAAGCTTTGGTTCTTTCTTTGCGGTTGCGGGATCTTCAGCTTTTTGTAATGTTATAGGACCGTCTGCTCTTTATTAAGAATTTCGTGGTATTTGAACTTGCCTCTGAAGAAAGAAAGCGCAAAATTCACCGAATTATCTATCAAATTCTTATCTGAAATTTGCTGGTGGCACCAAAAAAAACGAAAAACTTCAATAACTTTCCTATCAACTTGAAACTAATGAAACTGGGAAAATCATTGCTAGGATTTCATTCAAACCGATTGAAAAACAGTCGGGCATTTTCATATTCATCTCTGAACTCTCTACAAAAAACCAAAAAAGTTGTCACCGAGCGGACTCGAACCCGCATAGCGCGGCCAAAAGCATAGTGCGTTAACCGCTACACCCAGGTTTCAGCTCAATAGGTTAACTTTGAGTGGGTTAAACGGAACGCGACATACGCGACATAGTAATGATTCCAAAAAAATAATTCAAATTTTTCAAAAAATGTTGAAAATTCCAAATCTTCCAGATTCGGCTGCACCAAAGGCGTCTACATGCTCTCCGCAGTCACCACATCGCTCAACGTCACGATGGTCCTAACTCTTCGAAAATTCTTCTCCCTCTTAATCTCATTTTTCGTATTTAACAACGCATTCAACATGTTTCATACAATTGGCGCCGCGTTCGTCTTTATAGGCACTTTTTTGTTCTCCGTGTCATTTACTCGTTCTTGAAGTTGTAATTGAAAAATGGACTCTGTCATAGTTTCTTTTAAAATCAATTTTTGGACCAACTGAAGTAAATATAATAAAACTCGACGAGTTCTACAAAATGATACAATTTCGATTGCTGTATCTTTTCTATGAACAATGTTACAAGGCCATAAAGCTGTGAGACAGTTTTTGGCTTGTAAATTTGTTCATAGACAAGATACAGTATCCTAGTCAGTATCATTTTGTAGTACTCATCCAGTTCTATTGTATCTAATTTAGTTGGTCTGAAAATAATGATTCTGAAAGAATCTATGGTAGGGCCCGTTTTCAAGTTAAATTGAAACAACGAGAATTACTGTACACTTGTATAGCTTTGTGATGTCACAGAACAAAAAATACATATAAAAATACATATAATACCAGCTGTCCTCCTATATTTGCCCTCAAACCAAAACTAGGCCACACACTCATGCATTGTTGATGCGGATCTTTTTCAATTCAAAACCCAAAACGAGAGAGAAGGGGAGTAGAAGAGACGCAGACACAGGGTGAAAACGCCAGTTGGCAGGGGGAGAGAGCGACTCTTCAGGATGCAAATTTATCGATTTCTGGGGGCTCGGGGAGCATTTGTTGGTGTCTTCTCCGTTATCGAAAACCTTATCGTTTTTGGGTACTACCACACCCTTTGTTTCCACGTATAATTAGGTCTTCGCCACTCTTCTTCTCTGCGTCTCTTTTCCTGATTTTCCGTTTCTCGATTAGAATCTCGAAATTCGTGGACTTTTATTGAATTGGACTTCAGCTAACGGTCTCCTGACATACAATTTTTCTCGAGAATATTCTACAAAAACATGGCTGAGCAACGAGATAATAATAATATAATAATAGGAGAGAAAATGGAGGTAATTAATTTAATTTTTCGGGATTTGTACGGTTTTTCATGGTTCTTCAAAATTATAAAGAAACTATTTCGGTTAGAAAACTGGGAGATTAGAAACTTCATGAAACTGGAATATTTTTGGAAAAAAGTTTTATTTGTGATGAAATTGCAGCTCGAAGATTGTCAAATAATCTGAAAGCCTAACTATATAAACTTTGTGAAAAGGAAAATTTTTTAATTTGAAATTTTGAGAAAAAACTGGATTCACATCTAAATTACTGTAATCTCAAAGCGATGCCGAAAATTTTGGTTCAAATATGCATGCGCCTTTAATACAGTAGCCCAAATTTTCAGTACAGTATCAATTTTAAGCTATTTTTCAAATTTTTTGTCGATTTTTAATAAATTTCAGTGATTTTTTAAGAAGGAAAAAAGACTAAAATTAGTCGAACATCGCCAAAAATAATTGAGAAAAAAACAAGCCAGAATAATTATCAAAAAGAAACCTACAGTAATCAAAGTCGCATGGAGTTTTGAACGTTTTTCAATTTCGCATTTTTTTCAGAATTTTCAAGTTCGATTTTTACCTAATATGCCCGTTAACGCAATACAGAAAGTCTTAATATTTGTAAAATGACATAAACTTGAAACTGTTAAATTTTAGGCAAACTTGAATAAATCCAGAAGTTCAAAATTTTGAAAAAACTTTTTCGGATTCTAAAAAAAATTGGCTTACTGTAACTGAAGCAATCGTCGTGAACCCTATTATCAAACAGTCAACTTTGAGCCCATATATCTCATTTCCTGTAAAAGATATCACAAAGTCGTCAACTGACAAAATATTGTTGATAACATGATAAACATTTTGTCAGTTGACCACTTTCTGATATCTTTGATAAGAACCGAGAAAAATTGCCTCAAAGTTTGGAGTACCAGAACACACGTACCATGCCTTTGTTCAACCCAAATCTGAAAGTATCCCGGAGCGCACTTACTCTGTCCTTATTCAACCCTAACCTTCCTATTATGAGCCCTATTGTCCTAGGAGCGCGTTCTCAACATCTTTGAGCTCTTTCTCTTCCTTCCTCCGTTTTCCTGTTTCTATGACAATATTTCCTCTCCTTATGTTTCTCCCTGGGATGCTACTTCCATTTCTCTCTTCCAAAAATAAGAAAAATCAAAGCTACTAAAAATGAACTGCTCATTTCAACATATTGAGGTAAATTTAAGCTTTTATGGGTTTCAAAAATCCCCAAATTCATTTAAATATCTTAATTCAGATCTCTGTTTTCAATCTACAAACATTCTTTTGTTTAAAGAATGAATCCAGAAAAAGCCGTTTGTATCGTTCATTAGGATCACGGAATTCAGATTAGATTCTTTGAATTTGCGCCGAGATTGTAGAAAAAGGGAACAGGCAACTTTCTCTTTTGGTTATCCATACTTTATATCTGAATCCCAATTCATTTTATGTCAGTGGTAATGCTTACTAACCAGTCAAGATTTTCTAATATTTCTGAAATTATTGGAACAATGGGATCGTTTAAACTTGAGGTGTGTGTACCTTTTACAAAATATTTTGAAATAATATAAAGAAAACCTTGAAAGCTGGAAGAGTGATTGTTCAAACATCAATTTGAAATTTTTTAAATTGTCCGTTTATCCAAAATGTGTTTTTCATTTTTAGTGGATTAAAAACCTTGTCAGTGTAAACCAACTACATTAAACAATTTTTTTATATTACAAGATAATGTGGTGCATCTGGAACAGTAAAATTTAATTTTTTTTCAAGGTTCCCGCCCAACCTGGGAATTTTGAACCACTATAACTAAGCAGGGAAGTCGTTTCAGAAAGTGGTTGAGAATTTGCTAATTTTTTGACAGTGGTTAGTTTTCGCCCTTGTAAATCTCCTGTCAAAATCTGTATATGCACTTTTTCCAAAAATGCTGAAAATTTTCGTCTGAAAGTTTCCGAATCCTTAACCATTGTTAACCTCACTTTCCTCCCTTGTTTCGCCTCCTGGGAACCTCCGGGGAACACCACTCACATGAACCCCCTCGCGCCCTGTTGGTAGTAGTGGTGTTATAATCTGGAGGTCTGGGGTTCAACTCCTTCGTTTTGAAATTACTTCTTGCTTTTTTTTTAAAATCAAACTTCTATGCACCTATTTCGGGCGTCAAATAAGTTTTTGACACTAGTTTTCGTGTTTCTGCCGAATAGTAATCTTTAAAAAGCAGAAATCACTAATTTTTTCGAAGTTAATTATTTCGAATTTTTCAAAGTTTTTGGTGGTCATGTGAAATTTCCGATTAAATCTTTTTTTTGCTCGAAGTTTCTCTATTTTTGTACAGAATGTATTTTTGTGAGTTCTTATTTGTTGAACATGGTTTTCTAGCCCTTGTTCGACTCAAAATCCGTCGAAAAACAGTGATTGAAATGGTCGAAAATCGAAAGTTGACAGTGAACCATAGTGATTTTGCATTGAAAAGCTAATAAAAAAATATTTTCAAAAAAAAACTCAGTTTTTCTGAACGAGAACATGCACTCTTTCGTTTACCCTTTCAGTTTTCGGCTGCGTATTTTATATGGTTTTTTTTTCAATATTTAGTCCACGAGTTCAAGTCCTCGAGGATCTTAAGTGTAAAGCAAAAAGTTATTTTTAGATATTCACCCATTACAATTTATATCACTGTTTCGAAGATACTGTTTATTTGACTAGAAACATACATTTTTATTCTTCTCAAGACACGAAAAAAGGTTTTTAAAAGTTTCCAATTTCAATTAAGAACCTAAAAACTGTAACTTTTGAAAACGTCAGGGAGACTCTCACTCCTAGTTGAATTCTCAATTTAGCTGTAAATCTAAAACTAGATTTTTATTGTTTTCAGCTTTTCGAGAATATCTGATTTCATAAGAATTGGGTTTCTCAAATTTTATAATGTTTCATACAATCTATATGAACGACATGAACCTTTTGTACTCATTAAAAATCCCTAGGAAAAAAAACGTTATTTATTTAATTCCTCCCAAAACTGAAAATCCTACGACTTCTCTAAAATTGTCGAAAAAACGGTTAATTTTCAGTTTTGGTGGGAATTCGATTGAAAATACGAGAACCTTCTATCAGTTACCAGGACTGAGGGTTTTTGCTTTTTTCCGAGATTTTTTGCAAATTTATTCTTTGTTGCTATGTGAATCTAGATACTTTTTACCAATTTTGTTGCCATGAATTTTTTTTGGTCGGAGTCTTGTAAGATTTACATAGAACGTTTTTCAATTTTTGGAAAGAATATGCAATGTAAAAACTATTTCTATTCAAAAATTTAAAAATATCCCGAAACAGTATCAAACCCTTTGTACCAATGTTCTATTGATACAGCCGCATTGTCCCGTAAGAGAGTCAGAGCGCATAAAATGTACATCCATATATGTAAAGTGCCACGTTCTACCCTTCCTCTGTCTCTTTGTATATCTTCCACCTTCTCTCTTTTTCATCTCCATAAACATCAACGTGTCGTTTTTGTGCGTTTCGGCTGCATACCTAAAAACAGATTCATATCTATCCGACTTCTGATTTTCTCTCTATTTTTTTCTAAAACATTAAAGAAATGTCGAAGGATGGAGAAACGGTAATTGAGTCCTTTATGTATCCCTATTGTCCTGCTAATAGGGATTCGGGTTCCCAATATTATGATCTAAATTTCTGTAATTTTCAGGGTCTCGAAGCGTGTATCGGACAGAGTCACGAAGTGATGACCACTCCAGCAGCAGAGTTAGCGGCATTCAGAGCACGCAAAGTGGCTCTGATAACTGGAATTTCTGGACAGGTTCGTTTTTCGGGGACACAGGACACATTACTTCATAGATAAATTTTTGGATTTCAACATGTCGGTGAAACCGAAATTGTTTTAAAATTTCAGAAAGTTGAGGGCGTGGTCTAGGAGGGCTATAATATTCTAAAAATCCGTTTAAAGCTATTATGTCAATCTTAATTATGGCGCAGGTCCCTGAACAAAAACCACCATAACTTTCTACCGTTTTTATTTGGTAAGAACAAGAGGAAAATCGTGAGACACCAATGACTGCTCAAAGTTTCAAAATTTATGTATGCTTCAAGTACGTTGAAAGTTCAAAAATGTCTCACAAAAATATGTCTGAAGTTGTCTACCAGCCGCAAAATAGTTCACATGCAAAATTCGATCTACCGTTTCTCTGAAATTGAAACAAGCAATGTTTGACAGTGGAAATTCTGAAATTTTGTCCTATTAATGAAACTACAATTTTCCAAAAGTTCTGGATACAAAATATATAATTTTTACGCGGTTCCGGAGAGAAGTAGATGACAGCCCAAATAGCGTAAAACCTGTAATAGAATAGCCCTACACTGTCAAATTTTAGATTAATTTTCTTGGCTCCTATGCGACTTATTAAGAATATGTCAACTGCCAGAACACTTCTGATATAATGAATAGCAATTTACCAGTCGGTTTGAGCCCCCTCTCGGGGGCTCAAACCAAACCTCCTGGCTTCCGTTCACTGTATCTTACACTTGAATTTCTAATGTATAGATTTTCCCCTTTCCGAGTCCCCGAAACTTCCAAGTATTTTAACTTTAAATTTTGGATGTCACTAATATGGGAATTTCTGGATACTCGTTTGGAGTTTTCTAGAATGTTCCGGAATGTTCTGGAACTTTATAGAATTTTCTGGAATTTTCAGGAATTTTCCAGAATTTTCTGGAATTTTTGAAATGTTTTAGAATGTTTTGGAACTTTCAAGAATTTTCTGATACTTTCTAGAATGTTTTGAGGTTTTCTGTAATTTCTTGAAACTTCTCGAAAGTTATGGAACTTCTCGGTTTGTTCTAGAATGGTCTGGACTTTTTAGAATGTTCTGGAACTTTCTAGAATGTTCTAAACTTTCTAGAATTTTTTTGGAGTTTTTTGGAATATTCTCTTTTTTTCTAGAATTTTCTGAAATGTACTGGAATGTTTTGGAGTTTTCTGAAAAGTTCTAGAATGTTCTGAAATATTCTAGGACATTCCGGAGTTTTCTAAAGCTCTCTGAATGTTATAGAATTTTCTAGAATTATCTATAACCTCTAGAACTTTCTGGAATATTCTAGAATTTTCTGATATATTCCAGAGTATTTGGGAATTTTCTAGAATATTTCGGAATTTTCAAGAAGTTATTGGAATGTTCTGAATTTTTAATGCCTGTAGACAAAAGAAAAACACTAAAACCACATTTCCAGTAGGCCAAATGTTCGAAAATGAAGTGTTTCACCAAAAAAAGTTTTTTTTTCAAACATTTTTAATTTTGGAGATTTGAGCTCAAACTCTGTAGGACGGACATAGATAGGTCAAAAAACCGTTTTGCATAATTTTCTGAAGTCTTAGTGAGTTTGAGCATAATTTTGAAAATTTCGATTCTCAACCCTATAGGTTCCCTGTTAGCTAGAAGGCCCAGGACACCATGGGCATGAAGCACTCGGCAGTCCATGACTACATACCACACACCACTATAGAAGTCCCATGTCCCTTTGAGGTATTCAAGTAAATGTCCAAGACACACAGACACACACACAGACAGATAGAAAAGTTTCATTAGTAAGAAGTAGATTAGTTGACAACTTTTGTATATCATCAACAGGGACCGAGATAAACTGGCTCAAAATTTAAACCCCTTTTTTCAAAAATTAAACTAATTTTTCTTAACGAACCGTTTAAGAGCATACTTTCACTATCTCTTTCCCACCCTTACCACTTTGTCGAAACAGCAAAAAATACAATTCCAGGATGGCTCCTACCTTGCCGAACTTCTTCTCTCCAAGGGATACAAAGTTCATGGAATCATCCGTCGTTCGTCTTCTTTCAACACCGCCCGTATCGAACATCTCTACAGTAATCCAATGACTCACAATGGAGATTCTTCGTTCTCTCTTCATTACGGAGATATGACCGATTCGTCGTGTTTGATCAAGTTGATTTCGACGATTGAGCCAACTGAGGTAAAGAGAAAAAGCCTCGAACAATAGGCTGATACAGATAACTGACAAAAATCATGTTTTCGAAACATAAAAAAATATTTTTCCGCAAATTTGAAACATTCCAGGTATACCATTTGGCTGCTCAGTCCCATGTCAAAGTCTCTTTTGATCTTCCTGAATACACTGCTGAAGTAGATGCCGTCGGAACTCTTCGTCTTCTCGACGCCATCCACGCGTGTCGTCTCACCGAAAAAGTGCGTTTCTATCAAGCGTCGACATCGGAGTTGTACGGAAAAGTACAAGAGATTCCACAAAGTGAAAAGACTCCGTTCTATCCAAGATCACCGTATGCTGTTGCTAAAATGTATGGATACTGGATTGTTGTCAACTACCGAGAGGCTTATAAAATGTTCGCATGCAATGGAATTCTCTTCAATCATGAGAGTCCGCGTAGAGGTTTGTTGCTTTATAGAGTCTGTGAAGCAAGATTGGAAAGGATCAGAAGTTTGCCACCATAAGAAATTTTTATCTACCTGTGGAAACAGAAAAAATCGGATCTTTATTCCACCGTGAATTTGTATTAAGAGAGCTTTTTACGAGCCCGCGTAGAGAGAATTAAGAAAAACAGGACATAATGCTGTATTCCAATCAAAAATTTCCAACCAGAAGAAGTATATACCAAACTGTTGGAACAAAAAAAAATATCAAGTTTTTTTTCACAAAAAAAATTGGTTATATTTCTCACTCATTGAAACTCGTTGGACTTCTCATTTCTAACTTTCACCCAAATTATCTTACTTTCTATAAGAGATATCAGACTTTTGTCAACTGATAAAATGTTTGTCATAATATCATCAACACTTTCTAGTTTACAAGTTTTGTTAATTTTTATAAAATTCAGATAGTTGAGCTCGAAGTGAAGCGCCGTTTTAATACGGTAACTTTGAAAATATGTACATACACCCACTTTTGAGACAAGTTTACTGTGTTAGGTATTCACCAGAATTCATGAAGAGGAGAGAAATAATATGAACCTTTTGAAACATTAAATAAAACCTAATTATTTTTCTGAACAAAACCCTTTTTGTAATTACATAAGCCATAATTTTGTGTTAGATTACATTTGACCCAATTTTTCTCTGTCCAAAAATCTATGAATTGATAAAATGTTCATCATAAAATCAGAAATAGTTTGGTAGTTGAAAATTTATTGCTATCTTTTAAATTAACCGAGATAATAGAGCTTGAATTGGAGTGGCATTTTATTAGAAGAGGGACGGCAGCTTTGGAAGTATTTAGATACAGTTTGAAAAGTGAATTTATAGTTGAAACGCGTTGGACGAATACTAAAGAACTGTTCAATTTGAAAAAGAAAATACCAACATCTTGAAACAGAAAAAAAGATTACTGTAGGAACTTTTCATTCAAACTCTAAAGCTTTCTTACATGCTTTACGGTAGAAATGCTAAACATCTTTCGAAATTAAAACCGCCTGCAGTAATCTTATCTTTCCAGGTGAGACCTTCGTAACCCGTAAGATCACTCGCTCCGTCGCCAAAATCAGTCTTGGTCAACAAGAATCGATTGAACTCGGAAATCTGAGTGCTCTTCGTGATTGGGGACACGCCCGAGAGTACGTCGAAGCAATGTGGAGAATTCTTCAACACGATGCACCAGATGACTTTGTGATTGCGACTGGAAAACAGTTCAGTGTCAGAGAATTCTGCAATTTGGCATTCGCTGAAATCGGAGAAGTATTGGAATGGGAAGGAGAAGGTGTTGAGGAAGTGGGAAAGAATAAGGATGGAATTGTGAGAGTCAAAGTGTCACCAAAGTATTATAGACCAACTGAGGTTGAGACGCTTTTGGGTAACCCAGAAAAGGCGAAGAAGACGCTCGGATGGGAGGCAAAGGTTACTGTACCGGTGAGTATTTTACGTTGAATCAGTAATGTATATTCAAGTTTGATAAAAAATAAATGCCAGTTTCGAAACAGTAAAAGTTGGAAATGTTCTAATAAATATAGACGCTCCAAATCCTTTCTATCATTCTTGAAAAAGTTAGGCCATTCCTTTTGATGGATTAGAAAATTTATTTCAAGGAAGTTAGGTTATCACCTTGACCAATTTATGGGAATACCAAGAAACTGTTCAAAAAAGTGGCATTCTTTTGCATTATTTTTCAATAATTTTCAATTTTCCAGGAGCTCGTTAAAGAGATGGTCGCCAGTGATATTGCACTCATGAAGGCCAACCCAATGGCTTAATCACCTTCTAATTACCTCTTTTTTGCTTTACCCCTTTCAGATACGTTCTTAAAACTTTAATTCTAATTTATTGATGATTTCTGTGATGTGTGCATGTTTTTTTTCTTGGGACCTCTGGGATATTTTTTGTCATTTTTAGCATTAATGAAGTCATAAATGTTTGGGAAAAGAGTCCCTTTTGTTTCATTAATACGAGACATGATAAGAAGGATCTCGAGAATAAGAAGCCAGTTTTCAACGAGATTCTAGAAGAGATTGATGGGTTTTCGATTTGGGGAAGAAGGTTCGGGGAGAAGAAGGAGGGGATGGGTTACGGTAGACATTCTACAGTAGGAATAGAGAAAAAACAGTTCAGAAAGATCGAAACTATTGGATTCTAATTACAGGATATCAACGGAATTAAACTACATGGAGAGCGTGAAACAGAAATTAAAGTAAAGAACTTGAAACAGCGAGTAAATTTAAATTGAATTCAAAATTCACAGTTTCGTACAAGGAAGACATTTAATTTGGGAGATTATAAATAAATTTAGAAAATGTGGCAAAAAGAAAAGGAAATTTGCGTTAGATAGACCCTAGAAGGTCTCGTCCAATTGATCAAGTTGATATCCTTTTTTTGCAAGATATCAAAAAGTTGTCAACTGACTAAGACACATTCTCTGTCATCCTTGCTATTTTGAGCATTTTTTGTGTTGAAACCACATTTCTAGCTCGTTTCCTTTCAGCTGAAAATTTAGATTTTTTCCCGATTTTGAAAAAAATTACTGAAAATCTGCCGTCGTGTAAAATTTTAACATTAGCTGAAAAAAGATAACATCAGATTTAGATCCGGAGTGCAAAATACCACTAGAATACATTTGTTTGAAATTGAATATCCTGAGCAAAAGGCGAGTTCTAAGTCAAAAGTGCACAAAAATGAGGGTTCACCAATACATGGCAACTAAAATTCGCCCAAAATCGACCCTCTCCAACTTTGATAAAATTTTCACCGAGAACTAGAAACTTAACAAACTTTGGTATTTCGCGGATATTCATGAATTGAGTGAAACTGAGATTTAAAAAAATTCGCCGTTAATCAAATTAAAAAAAAATACTACAGTTTCTGAAACAACATAATTAATTGTAAAAGTTTTTATATTTAGTTAATCCAAATAGCTGATTACAAATGTTTGAAAAACTCTCAAAATTTATTCAATTGGACTAGTTATGAATTACCTAAAGTTTTAAAATTAAAAAAAATATATTTCTAAAAATGTTTTAATAATTCCTCGTAAATAGTAAATTCGTGGATTTACAAGAGATTTCGAAGCAGGATTTTTATCTGAATAAAATTTTTGTGACAATGGATTGTTACGAGTGCTTCTAAAAAACATTCCAAAATTTGGGATTAATTTTTTAAATAATGAATTTGTGATTTAGACAGCAGAGATGTCCGAAATAAATTTTTCGAGAAACGGAATCCGGAATCCGGAATCCGGAACAAAATAATTTTCTCGGAATCCGGACAAACAAAAATTTCACGGAATCCGTAATAAGGAATCCGGAATGAAATTAATTTTTCGGAATCCGGAATAAAAAAAAGCCCGGAATCCGGAATACGGAATACGGAATCCGGAATTTTGAGTTCTAAAAATGAGCAGAAAAGTTTTAAAACAGATATCGTGCTTCATTTTTGCATTTTTAGTAGCGGAAGTTCAAAAAGTCAGAGAATTCTTGAAAATTAACATATATATATATTTAATCCTGAACAAAAAATTTTCTCGGAATCCGGAATCCGGACAAATGAAAATTTTCCAGAGTTTGTTAAAATGTACAATCTTTTTTTTCAGAGTCCCGAAAACAGCTAACATTAGCACTGCTGGGAGAGTTGTGAAACTTTAAAACCACGCATCTCGCTTTATAGGGTTTCTACAAAAAGTTATCAATTACAAAACGGAAGCTCTAATGTTGTTTAGTATACAACAGAGTTGCACGGAC